GAATTTGTATCTGCTACTATCTGTGGAAGAGCTGCAGTTGTGGGAAATATCTCTAGCATCTCTTTTTTTATCTGATCCAAATAAGAGGAACTACTTCACAGTAAGTGTGGCCAGAGCCTGGAATAGGCTTCCCAGAGAGGTGGTGCTCTCACCTTTCCTGGAAATCTTCAAGAGGAGACTGGATGGGCACCTGGCTGGGGTCTTATGACCCTGCCCACCCCCAGTGCTCCTTCCTGTCCATGGCAGGGGGTCGGACTAGATGGTCTGTCCAGGTCCCTTCCAACTCAGTGATTCTATGATTCTAAGAATATAACAGATTGGTTTGTGACATTTACAATAAATGAATGAAACAGACACTGGAGGCAAGTGCAATGTAACAGGGTTGGGAAATGCTGAGGAAATATTATATCTATCTGTTACATACCTATTACTATCTGCACCTCGTATTAACTCATTTCTAAAGCACTGACCAGAGTTCTGTCCTTCCAGACAGTTTTACACAAGAGTTAAACCTCCAGGCCATTGTATATAAAACTAAGAGAAGTAGGTGTTAATGTTCCCTAGTCAGTTTTCAAAGAATTCTATATATTTAATAAAAAAAAAAAATAATACATGCAGATAACATTTTACAAGGTATAAAACACAGTAAATGATAGTAGGAATACTATGGGTAACTTTTAAACAAAAGTTATTAGACAGCAAGTCTAGTGGTATTCTTCATAAAGCTTCACCACTTTTTTCCTGTTATATGTGTTCTAATTCCAGTTTTCAATATTGCATTTACACTTCTGTACTTTAACACATATTGGGCATGTCTACACAAGACATTTACTGCGCAGTAGACTAATTAGGTGCACAGTAAACTTTGTGCATCTACATGAGCAGTCCTTTTAGGCTGGAATAAACTAATTAACTCTGTAGCAGGGTAGTACTTATAAATACAAGTATTATTCTGGTGTAGAGTATTTTACTTTAGAGCAGTGTGCATGTAGACACTGCCCTGGTTGTCTGGTACATGAGGGTGCTTCAGTGAGGGGTTTCCCTGCCAGCTAGTGCTGCACTGAAGTACCCAGTCAGCAACCCCTCCATAGCACATTTACTGGGGAGCGGGGAGCAGGCCCAGGCTGGCAAGCTGACCCCACATGTTCCCTGCCACCTGGGGATGCTTCGACCCGACTCAACATGCTGTAGTCCCAGGCACACATGAAGATATGAAGACACCATTAATGTGTATTAATTGCACATGTATACTTGCCCACATATACTTGTCCCTGTGATCTTTTTTTTAGCTATGGTGCCTCATCCTCTGTAGTGTGGCCATAATGACTAGTGTATGTCACCTGGATTTGTCATAGCTTAGGAAACATGGCAGCATTTCAGATTTTGCCAAATGTTTCAGAACCCTGACAGCCCAGCAGTCTGGGGTCTTTACAGCAAGCACCACTCTACTGGTTACATATGTAGGGAAGTTTAGGTTAGATATGAGTAAAAGATTTCTCACTAGGAGGGTAGTAAAACACTGGAACAGGTTACCCAGAGAGGTGGTGGAATCTGCATTCTTGGAGGTTTTTAAACCTGCCTAGACAAAGCCTTAGCTGTAATGATCTAGTTGGGGCTGGTCCTGCTTTGAGCAGGGGGTTGGACTAGATGACCTCCTGAGGTCCCTTCCAACCCTAATTTTTATGATTCAGTGATTCTATGTACATTTGCAGCTGTTTTGAAAGGGGAACATTTCAAAAGGCGGCTGTTGGTACATCCTAACTGTTACTTGTAGACAAATGAGGAACAATACAAATTTAGCAAAACATACTCCAAGTTTAAGGGTGTGGACCCATGAAGTTCCCCTTTCAGAAGGGGAACATTTCAGGAGGTCGGTAGCAGGTACATTCTAATTGTTACAGGTGAAGGAGCTGAGAATGATTCAAATGTAGCAAACCCACTCCAACTTTAATATTCCTTAATCCAGGGTTAAAGTTACAGTGCTTTTGCTATATTTGTATGGTCCCCAGTTTATCCACACCTAACAATTAGAACACAACAGTTAACACTTTTTTTAAATGTTCCCCTTTTGAAATGTCTCCAAATGTACATGCATCCATACCCAGTAATTGGTTAAATAGTTGACTGGTCCCAAAAGTTGATAATAAAATAGAAGTCTGGAGTCTTGAACCAAAGTGGTAGAAGTTTTGGAAACTACACATGAAATTCCTGTTCCCTGGAGCTCAATAAGGCTCTGATTCTCTCTGAGGCATTATTGTCTCCCCATAAACTCAGCTAAGTCTGGTAATAACTTAAAAACCCTCATCTTACTCAGCTCTGCCCAGGTCTCTTTCTAAAAAAAACAGAATCCCAGTTTCAAGCAGGTAGCTAACCATGGGCCCTTGTACATGTGACAAAGGGCCCTTGTATATGTGATGCAATTGCCCCTTTTAGTGGTTGAATTGCCCTTTTTAACAATTTAATTACATAACAGTGTACACGTTTGGTGGCATATTACGATTAAATTTTGTAAAAGTGCACATCTTCAATGGCGTATTTCGATTGAACTGACTTCTTTATGTAGCAAAGTAAAACACATCCCATGTATTTTAGCTTGCTACTTAACAAATTATAGCAATATCCATCACGTGTACAAGGGCCCTATCCAGAAAAGGCGGTGGGGACGGTGCATGGGGTTCTGAAAGCCCAGGTATGCTTGGGCAAGCTCAGGCTTGGCAGGCTTCTGGCACCCTGGGCACCAGCCCCGCCACCTTCTCCAGCTGCCAGCACACCCAGCCACCATCCTGCTGCCTTCCCACACTGCCCCAGGGGCAAACCAGCCTGTTCCTGAGTGGTCCCAGGAGGCAGAAAGGTGGCAGGGATGGTGCACAAGGTGCTGGAATCCTGCCAAGCACGAGCTTTCCCAAACACGCCTAGGCTTCCAGCACCCTGTGCACCATTGGATCCAGCAGGTGCTGCCTCCAAGCTGGGGCAGCCCCTATGCAGCTAGCAGGCTGCCTGGGTGGCCCTGGGGGGTGCTGCTGCCACAGAGGGAAGCACCAGGCCCTGGTGCAGTTCAGGGGCTGCACGACCCAGTGGTAGCTCATGTGGGCAGGCTCTGCCAAGAAAAAAAAAAGCATCGAGAGACCTGCTTCCCCCACCCCCAGGAGCCTGCCCGTGTCTCCTGTGGCTAGAGGCAGCTGCTGGCAGGCCAGTGGCCCCTGAGTTGCGGGGAGTCCCAGTGCTTCTCTCCATGGTGGTGACGCCCCCCAGGCAGCATCTGCACAGATAGCACCCAACCCAGATGGTTCTGGGGAGTGCTGCTGCTGTGGAGGAAAGACCTTCCCCACCCTCAAGCTCAGAGGCTGTTTGGCCCACCAGAAACTTGCTCCCTGGCCACAGGAGATGCGGCCAGGCTCCAAGAGAAAAAAACAAAAAAACGATCAGGCCCCTTGCTGCTTTTTTTTTTTTCTCAGTGGAATCTGCCCCCGCAAGCTGCTGCTGGATTGCGCAGTCCCTGAGCTGTGGGGGGGCTCGGTGCTTCCCTCCATGGCAGTAGCACCCCCTGGGATGACCTGGGCAGGCTGCTAGTGGGAGAGGCAGGAGAGGTGGGCAGGCTCTGCGGTGCGGGAAAAAAAAAGGATCAGGCCCCTCACTGTTTTTTGTGGGGGGTTTTTCCTTTGGCAGAGCCTGTATGCAGGGGCAGGGTAGGGGGAGTGAGCTGTTGGGGCTGTCACTGTTCCATCACAGTGACAGAAGTTCCTAAATTGAAACAGTGGGCTTTTAATCAACACAATTAAAAACCCACAAATTAAAAACCCACTGTTTCAATTTAGGGAGAATGAACCCCCCAGCATGTGTACAAGCACCCTTACTTTCAGTTCCACAAGCTATGTTCCCTCTAGAAGTTCCAGTTGGTCTCCCCTCTGTGCCTCCTGTAGAGCCATTAACCATGGTTAACCAAAGTTTAACCTAATGAAAGGGGTTTGTAGAGTGATATCTAAATCTAAGCCAGGGGTTGGCAACTCCCACCCCCCAGGCACACGTATCAGAGCATGGCACATGAAGCCATTTTGCTCAGTACACTGCAGCCAGCCCCAGCTCTGGGCAGGACCCTGCCACCCACCATGGAGCCTAGGCTGCTTGCTGCGTGCTGTGAGCAGCCCGAGCTCTGAGCAGGTGTGCCTAAGTGAACACAGGGAGGGGTGGCATCAGGGCAACGCTGCCGCAACAAGGATTGGGCCCCTCAAGGCTCCCCCACCATCCACCCTGGTGCACCAATATCTTTCATGTCAAGTTTGCAGGGTTTTTTGGCACTTGGTCCAAAAACATTGCCAACTCTTGAGCTAAACTATACAAATCTGTTGCCATACAGACGGTATTGCAGGACTTTGTCTGGTAAGAATGGTAAGTGATCAACACATTTATAACTTGACACTGTCTTTTTTTTGGCTATGAAAAATATACACTGGGGTTTTTTTGGATTGAGGTTTGCAGGGGTGGCGGGGGGGGAGGGGTGGCGTTACAAGCACTAAAGCTGGGACTGTTATTGTTACCAGACACAGACAGCAAGAACATATATACCTTTGCTTTTACCTGTGTTTATTATAGCATGGCTGTGGCTACTTTATATCTTTCCTTTATAAACCCTTTGTCCTCTGAATACACTGTTAACAGGAGATCAGACTCAATGGTCCAGGAAGCTCCTTCTAATCCTGTATTCCTAAAACCTTGCACTGGCCTATATAAAAATACATTTGCTTTGAATGACCTAGTTTACCTAGTGGACTGTGTGGCTGCCCTTTCCTCCTCTCCTCTTTCTCTCTTCAGCAATCTCTTGTAGTCAAGGATGCTTGTCTTCCATGATTGTCTTATCTGCGGGTCCAAAGGTAGCTGACAAGGCCAACCCATGATCGACAGACTCTGCTGCCTCCTCTTCTAGATTGTTGGTGAAAATATTAATTAGTGTTGGCTTAGCACTGATTCCTGCAGAACTCAATCTGAAACAGTCACAATTAATATTGATTTCCTTTTGACAAGTGCAAGACCTCCCAGTTAGCCATTATTAATCTGTTTAATGTGTGCTGTATTGATATGGCATTGTACTGATTCTTAAATATTTTACTGTTCTTTCTGAGAAATATCTATTAATATCCTAAAGAAGTAGGGAGCAAAGAAAGACTCACAAAATATGTATAATAAAAATATCTTTATAATATGAAATGCACAAGAAGGTAGACAGGGAAAGGATTAACCAGGACCAACATGTTCAAAACTGAGTGCCTCGAGTGAAAAGATTCTGCTGTACCTAAAATACTGAACACAATTAGATTATTGTAGAGATGTAGGACCAAATTCAGTGTGGTGTAAGCGCATGCAGCACCTGTTGAACTCCATGGGAATTTAACTCACTTATACCCCAGTGCTAAATTTGGTCTGGAGTCTTTATTTCATAATAAATGATTAAATGGATTGTCAGATTTGATATTCTCTCATAAATGTCTAATTAAGAAAAAAAGTAAGCCTCTGCTTCATAAAATCTCTGACTAATAGTACTAATAAAATGTCATAAATGCGATGAATGGTGTGATAATGCTTTCAGAGACTAATTGCTTTTTATTACCATTTGTGTTGAACTGATCAGAGTAACAGCCCCTTAGCTAAGATACCACAATAGTGTGATGAGTGATGACTATCTGGTGCTTCCCTAACAGGGACTGCCCACAAGGAAGAGGAGAAAAAATGGGCACCCCTATGTGACTGGCTGCAGATCAGGAAACATCTAACATGACTCAGACACCAAATGGAGCACTCTAAATAAAACTTTTGCTTAAGCAAATGTGCCCTAGGCTAGGAGTCAGAATACCCTGGATTCTGTTCTCAATTCTTCTATTAGCTGGTGCTAATATCTCTCTCTTATTATTGCCTGCCTAAAAGGGAGGAAAGTTTTAATCCCCACCCTTTCTAAGTAAAGGTATGGAGAAGTTGCACAAGGTCATGACAAGCAGAGTAGGGAATAATCTGATCTTATCCACTTTGTGATTGCCTGGAAGAAGCAGCATTCTGAGCTACACTGTCTGTAACTCCTGCCTTGCCCATTAGTGAACATCCTGCTCTCAGCCAGAAGCAAAGCCTTGGAATGGCAAGTGCCACTGCTGTCTTACACAATATGCAACTGAACGGCAAAAGAGTGAAGCAGGTACATGGGACTGTCTTGTTTGGGTGGGTTTTTTAATGCCACCTATTGCCATATCTTTCTGTCAGACAGCGAAGTCACAGAAATGCATTTGGCCCTTAGAGCAGAAGATGGGGAGGGTTTTTGGTTTTTTTAGGTGCTTGCTTCAACATTCTTTGAGTAGCCTCTAGGAGCGATGACTCAGGTAAAAAGATGACTCAGCCACATAGACACGCTCTGCCCTTGTTGCTCTATTGTGCCATATTCATCATAGAGCTTTAGGTGGTCTTTTAGAAATCCTGGGCCCAACCCCTGAATTTAAAGAGGGAGGCCTTGAACTACTTTCAAAATTTGATGAAATTGCATTGGCTTTAGCTAAGGAGGAGGAGCTTGATGTAAATCAGAACGTTCTGGATTCAAACCCTACTGATGACCCAAGTGGGGACAAATTTGTGCGTGGTCATTTAACTGAGGCAGAATATAAGTGCATCTGGCAAACTTAGAGCTAGCATTTCCCAGCATTTGACTATGATTCTATAGTAGTCTTTTTTTAGCATAATATGCTTCCATAGGTATCTCAAGACCCCGTTAAGTTAGCATTTATTAAGGAATGAGGTGCTTTGGGCGCTGCTAATGGACTACAGTTCTTTTTACCTGAGTCATTTTTTGCAATTCAGCCCAGCGTGGTAGGGAGTAAAACCTGTTCCTATCAGTTGTCTGTTTTGAGGCTTCTATGTGAGATGAGTTTAGAGGGTTTCAGTTTAGATCCAGCACAACAAACACACTGCCACATACTGCACTAACTGACAGACTCAGCAAGGAAGCCAAGAATTACACTGAAACCAGAGTACCTCTACTACCCCAGCAGTAGTAGTGCCCCCAAGTCAGTGTTAAGGCATGCTGGCAGGGCAGTGTACAGAGAAAGCTTGCCCTGCTGCAGCCCTGTAGATCAGTGGTCTCCAAAGTGGGGTGCGCGCACCCCAGGGATGCGCAAGACAATCCATTCGGGTGTGGGAAGAAAATATTAGAACTTCAATTTATATTTATATAAATATACATATATTGGGGGTGTGTGCTCAAAAATTTTTTACTGATAGGAGTGCGCGATCAAAAAAGTTTGGAGACCACTGCTGTAGATAGCTAAAGGACTTCATTCACAAGGGCCATCTATTCACCTATGCGTTTCATCAGCAGTAAATCCCTATAATTTTAAAGCTGAAGTTGGCTCAATATGCAAATTATTTGCAAAAGTGCCAATGATTTCATTATATAATTGGCATAAAATGCTGTACACAGAGATGTGTAAACCTTGGCAGCTCCATAGCAGTGTCCAATGCCACTGGGACAAAGCAAAAAGGAGGAAGAATGACCCTCTTATTATTTCCCTTCCTGTGCCAGGGTCCCTGAAAACCAGCCATGAGGTAAAGGGGAAGAGAAGCCTCTATCCTGATCTGATGCACATTCCACAGACAGGAAGTGGTGCCTTCTCTTAACTATTCCAATGGCTATTAAAATACTACGAGGCTGACACTGAATACCAGCATTTTGGCCAGATCTCATATTAATTCCTTTTCAGAGTCCATTTCAGTACAGGTTTTTTGTCTGTACAGAATGTGCTGTTCTTGGCATCTTCGTATCCCATGAAGATATGTAAAATATTGAACAGCTTAGAGAGAGTGGATCAGAAGCTTCTCTTCTCCCAGTCTCATAACACAAAAGCAAGGTGGCATTCCATGAAACTAAAATGTGGTAAACTCAAAATGGATGAAAGGAAACCACTTTTTACTGGATGTGCAGTCAGACAGTGGAACTCATTGCCACAGGAAGTCAATGCAAAATTCAAAGTGGGACTGGACCTTTATATGGCTAATGGCAACATCAGGAGTCATCCTAGCTAATGCTGAATAAAGACTTTCGGAATGGAAATACACCTTCGGGGGGTGGGGAGAGCAGATTGTTCCACATCTGCCTGCTGTGATAGTCCTTGCTTTTTCTACTGAAGACTCTGGTGCTGACCCCTGTCAAAGTCAGTAGACTATGTTTTTGATTCAATCTGTCTGTTTCTATACTGGTAGTACAGTTATAGTGATCTTTCATGAAACAAAATGTTGCTTATGCTGAAATCTTAACCTGGGCTGGCTTTTGATGAATATGTCCACTGTAATGCTCCTATGGTGATCAATTAGATCATTTAATAAACCATCTCATTTTGTGTTGTTTTATGTAAAGCATTTTATTAGTGCTTTATTTATTATATTGCTTTGTATTCCTTTAAACTCAAACAATACAAGTCAGTGTAGAGGCTGTTATTGTTGCCTCTAGAATGTTTACTCCTAGCTCTCTTTAGGACCTAAAAGGCTGAAAACTGCATCATAATTGCCCAATTAGTCCTAATGCTGCGTAGTGTTGACTGTTTAGTTACCATATATTGTGTACAGAACTAATTGTGGTGAAAGCAAATGAATGTGAAGGAAACAAACAAGCTACTAGAAAATAATTACTTGGAGTGTTTCTTTTTAGTACCTGTACAGCAGATTTCATTATAGTCAACAGCTTCTAAAGCTGCTTGAAATAGTGGTATTTGTCATTTTCATAGAAACTTGATAATGACATTAATTTATCTTAATGGTCTGTTCTATTGTTATAAATAGTAAAATTAGCTTAAATTGTCTTGCTTTTGCTGGTTTTGGATGGCTCCGAAGGGCCCCACAACAGCAGATGAGTAGATAATTTGGTGTGCTTGACAGATTTCCAATAATTTGTTATGTGGAACATGAGTAATGCTAGTACCATTAATGTTCATTTTCCTCTAAATTCATTACTGCCCTTTTCCCTTTTATCTTTTTTAATGTCTGGGCCATTTTTCTATATTTCAAGTGGAGCCACAAAGCCTATTCATATTCTGCTATAGTAGCTATTAACATTCTGCACATAGTGAACATCATGTAGAAAAACAACTCTTTATGAAATGATGAGGTTGGTGGCTATTTATGATGGAGAGTAGACAAAATGGGTTGCTTGCTGGTATTAGGGATTGACTATAATTAAGTCAAATGTAATTTTAAAGAAATTTAAATGTTTTCATTTTTATGGCAAAGGTAAAAATCACTTCAGGGAAATTCTAAGAAGGTGTAAATGCGTTAATAAAACTGTTCTCCTCCTTTAATATCATTCCTGTTTAAACTTCAGCGAGAATTTAGTCCAAAGCTATTACTCATTCAATATATTCTATCTAATTTAATTCTAATTAAACGTGGGAAAGTTCTAAAAATAATGATAAGTTTAGGTAGATTTGCTGATATGATAATCAGAATGAATGGCAGTTTTTTACCAGCAAAAAATAATTTAATATTTTTGCTTTTGGTTTTAATCAGCATTTAAGTTTATTTTCCCCCAGAGTTCCCACAATCTTCTGCATTTTCATTAAGATGTAGGCACTGGAAATGGGGGAAAAATGTCTTTTTGCATTTATACTCTATCACATGCATATATACAGAAACATACTGGAGCAGGCTAGTTACTATAAAAACTGCACAATGCAGTCTTAAGCCCTTTTCACTTATTTCCCTTAAAATATTTTAGTGCCTTTTTGTTAGCCATGTTCACAAAAATATGCCCTTCTGGCAGAACTTTGTATGAACAGAGGAGTTGAGAAGGCTCCAAACTCGCCATATTAGAATGTCTTTTTTTTCCTCTCACTCTTTCTATTGAAGGGACCCATCCAGGTTGTAAAGGTGATCAGTCACTGGAATAGCACATAGCAAACAGCCCAAGCAAATAGTTTGCAATCAACCAATAAAGCTGGAAGGTTGTTTGCATAAAATGCCTGTGGAACAATTTAGATGAACAAATGGGGGAAAACGGAAATTTGTTTACAGAAGAGTTGCAAACAAAAGCAGGATTTTTGCTGCTAATGGTTCTATCACTTTCTTCCAGCACAAGTTTTATTTAGGGTTACCATATTTCCTGAGTCTCAAAACAGGACACTCCACTCCCTACTCTTTTTCCCTCTCCCAACTCTCTGGCACACTTAGATATCTGTCTCCAAGCTCCAGTCTCAGAGGTGCGTGTGTGTGTAAGAGAGAGAGAGTCTGGTTTTATCTGGGACAGTCCCATTTTTTAACATGTCCCAGGCATCCTGCCAAAAATGGGACAAAGTGTTCCTTTGACCAATCTGATAGCAGGGATCCTGGTTTTCTCTGATAAAAAAAAATCCCCAATTTTTGGATTTAAAAAAGTAACCCGACATCTACATTTTTTCCATAATTAAAATGAAACATCACTATATATATGTATTAGTGGCATTTCATTTAACAGAACATTTGGTCACACTGGTTTTATTAGAGGCTCATGCAATAATGAAATCCTTAGCAGTATTATATGTGTATGTGTCAGACAGACAGACCAACAAACAATCTCTATCTATCTATCTACTGCCCAACTGGGGCAATAACTTATCTATGCTCCATGCAGATCTGCATTTATTATTCTCTCTACACTTACTATTTCACAGGGTCTCTTCCCCTCAGCCTTTCATTTTCCAGATCATGCTTGCATTGTTTATTCTGTCCTGTAAGCCATTTTTCCTTGTCCCAGTCAGCAAGCATCTAACTCTTCTGCTCCAACCAGTGTTCTTCTACCTGAGGACTCCTGGCTTCCAGCTTCTTGATTCAATGACTCAAGACTCAGTGGGATCCTCCTGCTGCTCTAGCTGCTGTACACAGTCCATCTGTCCCTCTTGCTTTCCTTTTCAGGCAGCTCATTCTCCTCAGACTCCCTTGGACACATGGTTCACCCTGGCGTCTAGCTCAGCTGATGGGTGCTGGTGAACTGGTCTTCCTCCTGGACTTCCCTCCACATGTGGCTGACAGTTCTTTGCTGACTCATGTGGACAGAGTAACCTGACCCATTGTTTTGCATAGCTTTTGGGGTCTGTCTTCTTGTCTCTGAATAAATCTATCAATAACTTGAAATGTTGTGCATAACTCAGTTTCTTTAACTGGCTTTCCCCTCTCTTTTTCTCCAGGAAACCTGTTAACCACTTTCCCTACTCCTTACTTTTGACAGCATGCTGTTGTTTGTAACTACAAATCACCACTGTCACTATCAGTATCTCCCTGCTACCGCCACTTCTGGGCCTACGGGTAAGCTGCACTTTGGACCCCATCAGTCTCTCCCTAATGTGCCCTTTAGATGGCAGGGCTAGCTTCTTGCCCCTCTCTCAGGGTGGAAGCTTGTAGTTCAAGGAGTCAGCCCCCTGCTTCCCAACTGTGTTTTCATAACAGACCTAACTTCATTTGACACTAGCATTTCACTCCAGGGATTTAGTTCACTCCAGGGATGTGGGGCCCCTGGCCTGATGGAAGCAACTTAAAAACAGCACTGCTAAATGAAAATGAAAGAAGGAGAAAAGGAGGGAGTTCATTCTCCATCCTGCACTACAACTTCTAACTGGAACTTTGACTCCAACCAGGACTACATCTTGGTGAATCTCTCCCAACATGAGGCAGAGGTACTATGGACTAGACTCATCTATATGCTTTGCGCTAAGCCTTTTGACACAAAGCAGTCACATACCCTGGTTTTGCTGGCCAATTAAGGCAGATAACTGTGGGCTGGTAGCTCTGGTCCTGTGAACTGAACATCAGTAAATGGCACTTCACAATAGAATGAGTTAGGTTCTGTAATATCATCTCCTCCTAATTCTATTATTTTCATTGGGGACTGATGTCTCCACTGAAGCTTAATGCAATTGTAAACCTCACTTGTATACCAAGCAGCTATAGTATTTCTCCATTATATGCTGATCAGTAAATGCTTCTGTTCAGGTGCTTTTTACTCATCACTATTACACTGAGCTCTGGGAACAAAGCCAACAATACTAGCTTTGGCAAATTCAAGCACAGGTAGTGTATATACCTTCTGTGCTATGTCTGGTGGCTGGATTCTGCTCTTGGTCGTTCTAGTATAAATCTAGAGTAACTGCCTAGAAGTGGGTGGACTACTGATTTTCATGCTTCACTTAAGAAAAGTAGCTCTGTCTGGATAGGCCTTTAGTTTATAATAAAAAATACTGAGCTTAATAGGATAAATGCATGGACTGTGATTATTAGAGTCTTCTTTTATAGGAATAGGTGTAGCTGTTTGACGTCTAAAAATGGTAGAACGTGTTCCTGGTTACTGTGGCAGGGTATTTAGGAGCAGCAAGAAGCTCAGCAGGACACCAAAACAAATATACATACCTGGGTCTGCACCTGTGGCAACAGCAAAGTGGCAGGAGCTGCAGCTGTCATTCTTGTGCCTGCTTCAAGTCGGTGCCTGGGGCTGATGCTCCTGTCACCCACCTTCATTACACTACTGCACTGAAACAACATGCCACTGGGGAACAAGCTACCCAGAGAGGTTGTGGAATCTTCATCCTTAGAGATTTTTAAACCATAGGTAGACAAAGCCTTGGCTGGGATGATATAGCTGGGAACTTTGAGCAGGGGGTTGGAGTAGATGACCTCCTGAGGTCTCTTCCAACCCTAATTTTTTCTGTGATTCTCTGACTTAATATGTGGGTTGTAGATGTACGTTTAATACTGAAATATCTGCTTCTTGTGAAGGCCTCAACTCAGAAAAATGAGCAGGGGAGTTAAAAAAAAAAGGGAGATGGAACTCCATACACCCCTCCCCGCATGCAAAGCAGATGAAACCAGGACCCTGATTCACAACCCTATGCCACATTGCTGAGTGCTGCAATGCCTAACTTTTAGGCATTGGTATACCATACTCAATTCCACAGTCCTGCATTAGACACCTTACAACAGGACCCACAGACACCAGTAGACTGAGATGACAGCTGCCTAAACTAGTCAATAGGGAAACACTGAGGAGAAGGGGGCATCTGAAATCTCATCTCTCTCTGGGCCTTAGGTACCTTACTTTGCTAGAAAGTATCTGGAGTCAAGGACACCAGAGCCAGCTCATTAAACAGACAAAATACAAATTTATTGAACGAAAATAAATGTCAGTGGTTGACAACAGTCAAGTGCAACACACTTACTCATAGCTGGGAAAACCAGGAAGGAAAGGAAGGTAGAGCTGAATGCAAGTTGCGGCTCATCTGTGAGAGTTTGTTGTATATGTGGTTTGGTGATTGAACACCACCCACTTGCCAGAAGCTCTCAGCCAGCCTTGGGTTTTATTATCTGCCTAGTCATGCACCATGGAGGTTTTT